TTTACCAGCAGATCCCATCAGCCTCTTTTGTATTTGCCAATCAGATGGCAAGAAAGCAATGCATTAAGATCTTACTTTTATCTTCTTAGTTATTACTTTGAGCATGCTTCTGTTTGCTTATTATGCTTTTATTTTTCTTCTTTGGTTAATTTTTCATTTCCGGTGCTCACTGCCTTTTATTGTTTCTCATAAAAGCAAACATCAAATGTAATTGGAAAAATTTCTTGGGAAAAAAATGAATAATAGTTAGGAAGAGACAAACATTCATCTTACCTACCTGCAAAAAATGTCAAGAGCTTCAGGATCCCCCCCCCCCGTGTGTGTGTGTGTGTGTGTGTGTGTGTGTGTGTGTGTGTGTGTGTGTGTGTGTGTGTGTGTGTGTGTGTGTGTGTGTATGTCCCTTCCTCCCTCCTCCCTGCCCCCTGCTTGGTTTGGAGTCACAAGGGCCAAAAGAAGAATGCTTTGGCCTTTCTGTGTTATGAAGCCACTGGGATCTTAATGTGTGTCAGAAAGTTGTGAATTAGACAAAGAGACAAAAGCCTGCTGCAGAAGGACTACAATGGGGTGGGGAGGGAGAGGAGAGGGTGGTCATCTACAGCTGGAGGCAAGCAGAGGACACTTTCAGTGAAAATTCTGGGAAGGGAACCCACAGGCATGTCACTTTTCAGCAGTGGTTGGGTAACCTCTGAGTTCTCATCTTCCCTTCACTGGTAGTTCCGACTCTCCCATGATGCCTCATTAACAAACACATTCCCAAACAAGCTCGTCACTTGAGCTGTCCTCCTGCCAGCCGAGCCCATCTGCTTGATGCTGCCAATGGTCTTGCTTTCGGTGGGGAAATCACTTCCTCCCAGTAGCACAGACTGAGAACACAAGAGAACTTGAAAAACTAAGTAAGTAAACTTCATTCTAGTGTTTGACAAAGCACAGCAATCCTACAAACACACTGGCTTCCTCTTAGTTCTCCTCCTCTCTGTTCCAGTACCATTTCTCTTGTCTGTATATAAGGCATCAAAACACATATGGTATGTTGCCTCCTCTAAAGTGTCTTCCCTGACTGCTCCGCATTCACACATAACTGATGACTTTTTCTTTTTAAGATTACTCACATATCTACCAAACTCACAGATAGTAACTGTCTTATTTTTATCTTTATGGCTCTAGCATCTGTCTTGATACCTGTTACACAGAAAGTCCACAATAAAGTTTAATGAAATTCAATGGTTGCTAATAAATTTGAGCAAGCAGCACAACCTCCCATCCTCTCTTCTTTCAGGATGTGCTAGGTACTAGGCAGACTAAACTAGCTATTAATTCTCTTGTATGTCTGCAGCTTCAATGAGTATGACTTATCAAGACACAAGTGTTCTTGCTCATTAACTACCAAACATTTGCTAGTCTTACGCGTTCTTCCAAGATCATCCCAAATACCATTCTCTAGATGCAGAAGTCCCTGATCTCCATCTTAACTCTACCTTCAAAAGCCCTTTGGCCTCAATAGCATTGCTGCTGTCTGGTACAATCAATGTCATCACAGCCTCTGACACATTGATGAGTCTTTCTTATAGACTGTAGCTTTGATGCCTTTAGTTATTACGTCTCCACTGTGGATTCAATGAAAGTCTTATACATTTGAAAAAAAAAAAATGGCCATTGTTTTTGGTCATCCACTGTGAGTTTGAGGCACTTAACAATAGACGATGTTGCAGCCACCCCAAAACACCTAATTCAGTTCCTGGGCCTACTGTCTTCTAAGTGATCAGAATTAGAAGAAATATTAGGCCTCAATCTACTCAATTCTCTACACCAATATGCTTCCACTAGCATTCTATGACATAACCAAAAGGACATTACTCCATTCAGTAGACGATCCATGACCACCAAGTCTAAGGTCACACCAGCTCATAGATTCTTTATATGTGTTTCTTTATAGCTCTTAACCTAATTTAATGTATAGTTTCGGCATCCATTTGCTTTAGTAAAGGGTACTTTCCTATCCAAATCCACAACTCCAAAAGGGAAAAACTATGACTGCTTTTACCCTAATGAAACAGCTATTTTTGTTTCACCAAGTATCTGTTCCACTTTGGAATTCTTGGTGTGTGTGTGTGTGTGTGTGTGTGTGTGTGTGTGTGTGTGTTCATTGCTTCCTTAGGCTATGCCCCTGGAATGAGGGAAAAGATGAATAGGCTTCTCTTTACAGGCTGTGATCCATTTTGTCAATTTGATCTCCCCCACCTAAATCTTTGGCCAAATTGTGACTTACATTCTCAGAGCTCCCCTAACAGCATTATTCTATCAGACTTTTGCCAGACAAAGGATGCAAAACAATTTAATGTAGGTGAAAGTACATTTGAAAATATAAAGAATCCTATGTGTCAGCTGGGATGTTGTAGGTTCCAGCAGGTTTCATAAAGGGCACCATGGTTTACCCCTTCCCAGAACTGAGTCAGATGGTGGATTTCTCATGCTTTGTGTTTACTCAAATGAACACATGAATTGGTTCACACCCATGATTCCTAAATAATTTCTTCTGTTTCACCTTTGTCTCAACTGAATTCCTTCCAAAATTTGTAGACTGTCTGAACACAGAGATCCCAGGCCACTCTCTAATCATGGTACCACATGGCACATTTGCCAACTAGGTAAAGGCCTGACCTGACTATTCCGGCTCGGCTACCAACAGTGTTGCCAATAATAACAACAGTTACCATCACACAGAAATGACACAGAAGAATGCAGTGTGCTGAGAACAACCTGGTAAATGTTATTGGATGGGATATCATGGCTACAAAATTTTGGTGACCTTGGTTCACACTTAGCCTTTAGTCATCTCTGTGAGCATCATATGACTCTGATCCTTAATCGCCTCATAACACCACAGGGTAAGTAAGGCTGAGAACACAATGAGCTTGAGAGAAAAGGACTTTTTTCTAAATGAGACCTACAGATCATACACGGTTTCCTTCCCTCTCCAGATTAAAATGTTGTCCTTGGTGGTATGAAATTTTGCTGATGCTTTATCTCATAGGTGAATAGAAATGTGGGTGTGTACTTATTTCTTGTGAGGAAGTCCAGGATAGAGAGGAAACTTTTACCTTACCTTCACCTCCTTCCGCAGTCTCCTTTCAGTTTTGACCCCCTGGACACACCTTTGCTCTCAGAGCTTTAGATTACAGAGGGTCTTAGCATAACACGAGAGTTCTGGTGGTGTCTATGTGATGGTGATGCTTAGAACCCTTTAGCGTAAGTGATGAAGACACAGTGCTTTAAGTTACATTTACTTTGACCATTTTTCTTCTTCCCCTCCCCCAAAGTGCAGTTACCTTTGTCTTTTCATTCATCTCCAAATTATTTCTCAGTGTCTTCAAGAACCCATACCATACCCTAATTACCAGAAAACTATGAATATTGAATGTCTTCATGGATTTCCCACACACACCCAGTTCTGAGCAAAATGCCTGCGCAATCATAAATGCTAGAATTATGGTTCATGGACAGAAAGAGATGGCAGATGGAAGGAAAGCCACTGTGCTATCTCTTACAATGTCACACAAGCTGCCACAGACTTTAAGAGGACTAGATCAGATCCCCAGTAATGGTGATGGATTTGAGAGGAGAAAAATTGATGCTAGATACGTGGATGCAGAAGTCAGACAAGCCCTTGAATACTGGAGTCTGGCTCCACAGATTGAGTTTGCACTAGAGATGGAAATTGGAAATCAGTCCTGTGACTGGGTGAGATCTCACAGAGTGAGAGTGCCCTAGGGGTCACCCATGACTTCCATAACACTCCAGTCTGCTTAAATGCAAGGGTCGAAGGCTGAGGACTTTGAAAGCAAATGGCCCTTACCTCCTTATCAGTTCCCATTCCGTTACATTAGCAACCAAATCATCACCAGCTTCCCCAAACACTGGCTTCACTCTGCAGCCCATTTAGAGCAGATGGAAGGGTGGAAGAGGTTAGGATGAGACTTTCATGACAGGCTAATATGGTTCAACAGCAGCCATTAACTAAACAAATATTGAGTAGTAGCAGCAGGGTAGGATGCGTGGAGCATCTGACAGAGCCCTAATCTGTCAGGGACAGATGCCACAGAGCCCCAAAAACTACAATATGGCTGCTAGTGACAAGGGCAGCAAAACAATGAAGAAAACGCTTTTGGAGTAGATTTTGTGGGGGACATTTGAGGCCAACTAGATTGCTTTAGTCAAAGATCAGGTGAAAAAAAAAAAAATCTCTGAGGGGAGGAAAACAAAGTCGGTCAAGTGGCAGTCAATCCCTTTTTATTTTCCATTTAATTAACAAGGAGAAAGTGTTACAGGAGAGAAACAAACTGCACCCTCCCCCACCCCACCCCCACCCCCGCCATGCTCCCCGGAATAATAAGCCTATTAGGGCAGTTTCTAAACTTGAAGCTGTGGGATGTTTGCTAAGAAGAACATGGGGGAAAGTATAGGATGGCCATTCCTTCCGCGGTCCAATGGCAGGGAAGCCCATGCTCTGCTAAGTAGCTGATTGGCTACTGTAAAAGTCCCGCTCTCAGCAAGCACCAGTGTGCTCTCAGAACCGAGATTCTTGGAAACAGTTTCTGGCAAGGAATGCATGACATTGAGACTGCTCCGGAGTTGTAAACAAGGACGAGTCTGGGCGGGCCTGAATCCCCTGGCGACCTGGGACCCGTCCCAAGGCGGCAATCTCCAGCCCACGTTGTCCCAGATGCCCGCTGTAGCTCCCTCTCACCCCTTGGCCTCCCTCTCACCCTTGCCCCTCGCAGGCTTAGGGCACCCGAGCCCGCCTGCTCTAGGGTCACCGTGCCAGGTCTTTCTGCTGACCGTGGCCAAGGGGAGGGGCCCAAAGTTCTTCCTCTGAGCTGATTGGTGTGGCCCCAAGTTCAGAGTTCTAGTGACTCCTCCCGACTGGAGTTGAGGTGGGGAGGGCGGGGAGGTGCATAAAAGGCTGCGGGAGGTGGGAAGACCTGAGTGTCAACCAGTCACCAGGGACCCTGAGCACAGCGCACCTGCTCCCGACCGACAGCGCTCCTGCCCCGCAGTCCTTGTTCTCCAACGGGTCCAGGCCACCGCCAGCCTAGGTGGGCTTCAGGATGAAGGCAGCTCGCTTCGTGATGCGCAGCGCCAGCTCGCTGAGCAGCGCCAGCCTGGTCCCCCGGGAGGTCGAGCTGTTCTCACGCTACAGCCCGTCCCCGCTATCCATGAAGCAGCTGCTGGACTTTGGTGAGAGGAGACCCAGGGGCCCAAGAGGGTGGCGCTGAGGCCGGGGAAGTGCCAGGATAGGAAGGGCTGAGCTCAGGGTGAGGACAACTGAGGTCCACTTGGCTGAGAAGCCTCAAAAGGCAGTGCACCTTGCTGTGTCCTAGTTTGGCTACTTTCTGACAGTTTGGACCACAAGCATAGGTCACCTGTAACCCTGTGGATGTTCAGCTTTGACTTCGCTTTCCTCTCCTAGCTGTCAAGATCTTTGAGTTGAAATATATCCATGTGTGTGTTTGATTCAGCCACCATTTTAATAATGGACTGGAAACTTCCTCCCTTCTTCCCATTGTACAACTTCTTAATGACATAAACTCACATTAGATTGCTAGATCTAACCCCTACCCCCAACACATACACACACCTACCCTGTAGACCTCTCAGCAGGCTTAAGGAAAGCCTTTACCACTTGACTTTTATTGTTTTACAAGTGTCTACAGTACTACTAAAATAAAAACTGGTTACTCCCTTTCTGCAGCCATGCCTTAAGGAATATTTCAGGATGTTAATGTGGTATGGTTTATTGCTAGTCTGGAAACCACTCTGCCTCCTTCTATCAGTCCCTTTCTAGTCCACTCATTATAGAGTGTTGCTGGCTTTGTGGTACAGGCTGGCCCTGTTCTAATGGATAGGAACAACTGGAGAGCGGTCTGACTTCTCCAAAGTGAATTCTCCTCAGCAAGAAAATAAACAGTAATCCAACTATACTGGTCACTCTTCAAAGAAGAAAATTGGGGTGGGGGGACCGCAGAAAGAAAATATACTAAAGATAACTATTCCTAAAGTATTTATAAATTCTAACTGCAGTTAACATATCATTTTTCAATGTCCTTCATATTCGATATTTATTTTCTATCCCCCTCTCCAAGTGAGCATGTTTTATCCATTGCAGGTTCAGAAAATGCCTGTGAAAGAACGTCTTTCTCTTTTCTGCGGCAAGAATTGCCAGTGAGACTAGCCAACATCCTGAAGGAGATTGACATCCTCCCTGAGCGACTGGTGAATACCCCCTCCGTGCAGCTGGTGAAGAGCTGGTAAGGGGCACACGGTTTTGACACCTTGGCTTTAAAAACTACCTGAGTACCACTTCTTATGCCATTTTAACATCATAATCGGATAACAGATGGTCTTAACAGAAAATAGTTCTGGAAGGTATAAATAAGTTTGTACTAACTTAGGTCAGGGTTATCATTAGGCTAGATATAAATCTATGAATAGACATTTGCTAATATCCTAAAATAAATCATAGCCCTTTATTTTGGGTAGGGGTTTGTGCTTTTGTTTTTGTTTTGGTTTTTTTTTTTAATTTTGTTTTGTTTTGTTTTCGCTGTTGTTTGTCTTTTAAGACAGGATCTCCTGTACCACAGGCTTCCTGGAACTCTTTATATAGCTTAGGATGACCTTAAAGTCCTTGCTACTTGCCTTCACCTTCCAGCTGCTGGGTTTATGAGCATGTACCACCATACCCAACTTTCATTTCAATGTAATTTTGATTCACGGGATAAATCTGAAACAGTTTTGATTTTATGCTTTACATAACAAAGGATGGAATCTGAAATTGCACAAATAATCCATTGCCTAGAAATAGATCAGGATGTCTGCTGTTTAGAAAGGGTTTAATATTTGTTTGTTATTAGCAATTAGGAAAGTGAGCCTTGGGTTCAGATTTTGCCTTTTCATCTCCTTTAGTGTCTTAACAAGTGTCTTAAACTCTCTCTGCCTCAACTGCCACACCCATTGTTACAAGAGTTGTTGCCTACAACTAAATGAGGTGGTTTAATTTTTAAAAGACTTAAACTAATACACACATGACCAGCATCTAATGTCAGTTCCCATGATGTTGTCTTAAACTAAGAGTGCTGATGCCTAGCAAGCAGATGTTTGGAGGGCAGACCCATGTTATAGATGGTGGCAGATAAAGAGCCCTACCCTAGTTCATCGACTATACAGCATCTTGTCCAGCAATTGAAGAAACAAATCTGACCATTGGATGATTCCAGCCTGAAATGTATATGAAACCCATTGTGCTCATTGTCAAGACTCCATCTCTCCTGAAGAGTATTGTCTGAAAAAAATAAATAAATAAGAAAAGTTTCCTTAGAAGTTGATTTTGAGTGTTTTTAGTAGAAGAAATGAAAACATCTACCAACCAAAGTGGCCAGGAAAGTAGAGGGTGGAAGACTGCAGCTTTAAAAATCTCTTAACACGTTCTTTCCCAAGCATCCTGAAGGAAAGAAGCAGTTTTGAGCATACCGGTTCCCCTTTCTAATCATTTCAAAGGTTGTTTTGTTTGTAACCATTTATTTGCATCTGCCGTTAATGTTAATGCTTCTCCTTTAACAGGTACATCCAGAGCTTGATGGACTTGGTGGAGTTCCATGAGAAGAACCCAGAAGATCAGAAAGCTCTATCAGAGTAAGTTTGCCTTATGAGAATATGTGTTTATAAAAAGCTCCAACCTCCCCAGTAAATTGCTAGTCCTTACAAATTACAGCTCACTGGTGGTTTTAGAAGTGAAGAAATATGGAGCTGAAATTGGTGCTAGGTATGAACAAACATAGAGAACTTACAGCTTTGCTTCTCAAGGAATTCCACATTTACTTTAAATTTAGCCCAAAGATTATATTTGCAAGAGAGTTTGCTGTTACATAATTTTAATGGACTTCTGGGTCATTGGTGATTACATATTTCCTCTAACAATTTCTAACTAGCTAAGTAGAAATCTTCTTTAAAATATGACAAGAGACTTCAAGGGTTTTATTTTCCACAGTGGCATGGTAGAATTGTGTGTGGTTTTAATAATTTTCTAGCAAGTGGGCTTAACGAACATTTTTAATGAATGTACCAGTGAGTGGTTTTCCATGGAACCTAAAATCTCCAATCCTCTCGTGAAACTGCCTCCTTCTACTACAGTAGGAGAATTGTGCAGTGAGGGTCTGGAAGAAGCTTCACCCAGCATTTTATAATGCGCTGTTCTTGGGTGGCTCCTGGTGCAAAAAGACCTTTCTTTTCCCTGAAGCAACTTAAGGAAGAGACATGTGGGAAACTTCGTTAATGTCCACTAACTGTAAATGTTCTGGCTCAGCTTTGTAGACACACTCATCAAAGTTCGAAACAGACATCACAATGTGGTTCCTACGATGGCTCAAGGAATCCTTGAGTATAAAGACACCTGCACATTTGACCCAGTTACCAATCAAAATCTTCAGTATTTCTTGGACCGGTTTTATATGAACCGCATTTCTACTCGGATGCTGATGAACCAGCATAGTAAGTGACTTTCCCAACACATGGTCTGGAGATGTGGGTGTTGTATATAAGCCATGCAGAGGCTGTACCCATGACTGAGGACCCACAGCCCTTGTTCATGATAGTTCTAATCACCACCTTGTATTTCATAACATGCCTTTGTTTTCATTTTTTTTTAATAGTCCTTATATTCAGTGACTCAAAGACAGGAAACCCAAGCCACATTGGAAGCATCGACCCGAGCTGTGATGTGGTAGCAGTGGTCCAAGGTAATTTCTAGACTTCTGTATTTCTCTTATTGAAAATGTATAATACATGGTTGGCAAATCTGTAATGTTGGTGATTCTGTAAATGAATTTGTATTCACCATGTTCTGCTCTTGCTTTATGAATCCTGCCAACAAGGTCCCTTGCTTTGGTGTGTCAGGAGTATAAACACTCATTTATAGTATTATAAAAAATTTAAACGTAAGTGGCCCATGTGCCATATTCTTATATATTGTATTTGATCTCTGAAGTGCATATATTGCTATTGGTACACCTTCAATAAAATATTGTTTTAATAAAATATTAAAAAGACATTTTTCATACACATAAGCCAATCCCCCACTGAATAAAATTTTAGATTAAGGGTAGTAAAAACATTGAATACCACTTGACAAGTGTACTTGGAATAAATTTATTTCATTGTTATGAAAAATTTCTATTCTAGATGCCTTTGAGTGTGCCAAGATGCTCTGTGATCAGTATTATCTGACATCCCCAGAATTAAAGCTCACACAAGTAAATGGTAAGCTAGCAGCAAGTAAAGCTATGAAAAACTTAGTATTGCTGTTTTTTTTTTAATATAAGGCAACATTTGTGTTCTTTTTATTCTCCTGAGCTTGCTTGGAATTTGTACAAAGACATTTCGTTTTGTTTTTAAAGCCAAGTTTCTCCATAGTTGCCTTAGTTGAAAAGCTTCAATTGTGCATATCACTTGCTAAAAGCAAATCATAAGGAAGAATGTTTGGACAAAGATGTACCTAGGCTCTAATATCTTAGGTCAGGGAAAGGCTGCTTCCTGTAAAATATGTAAGATATCTCCAGGCATGGTGCCTGCAACTGTGGCACTTAGGAAGTGGAGGAGTTCAGGCTCTTCCTACATTTCAAACTCCAGACCAGCTGAACATAGATGAGACTCTGTCTCAGAAAATTAAATAAAAAGTAGACTATGAAGAATAAGGATATCTGAAGTATAGAAAAGATTTGTCAATGGAGCTGTCCTCCTCAAGAGGTTATTCACAGAGAACAAAAATACTTCCTAAACTGTCCTAAAAGGAATAAGATAGACACAGACTGACAGATATTGCCTGACCCAAGTTAGTCATAATCACAAGTGAAGATTACAACAGTGCTTGTCAAAGACTCAGGGGGAAGAGATAAAGGGTTGCTTTTGAATAGGTATAAAGCCTCCGTTGTGTAAGATGAATAAATTCAAGAGATCTGATGCTCAATGTGGTTAACAGTATTGTACTACACACACAAGAATTTTTCAAGTATACTTGAACTTGTGTTGAATGTTCTTACCACAATTTTAAAACTGTACTGCAAAAATATGCTACTATTTGGACACAGAATATACTTCAAAATTTGAACTCTATGCTATCTGGTGGAGTAGAGCATCCTTCACACATGAAAGTGATTACATGTACGATCCAAAGGGTGGTTTTTAGATCATTCTCTTCTATTCCAGAAGAGAGTGGCTTCTCAGATCAAGGCATACTAAAATTGGAATGCTCTTCCCTTTCCACTATATGTTTTTCCAGTTAACGTTTATCCAGTAATATGCATTAGTGACGAGGCTAATAGTACGACTAACTCATAGACTGAGACGATTGAAATGTAGGTGAACTCTAAGATAAAAGCAAGAGGGATAATAATGACAAAGTCACTCAGAGTAAGCAGCATTGTATTATACTTGCAGATTAACTGTTTGCACTGTTGGGCAAAACAAAGACAGGATTGTGCCAGACCCTTCCTTGTGTTTACTCATTCAAACTTTCCCCAGGCCTGGGACATAAAACAATACTTCTATTTTTCTTTCCAAACAGCATCATGAGGTTTTTGTTTCTGTTTTCTTTAGCCTGCTGCTTAAGCTTAAATACGCTTAGACTCTAGGATCTAGGATTTAATTTTTTGGTGGTTTAAAAAAAATCATGTAATTTAATATGCATTAAGGTACAAAAAATATAGCTACCATTAATTTTAATGTTATAAGCATAGCTATTCCTTCTATCTTCAAATGAATGTGGTTTTAATGCTGAAATTGTATAGCTCAAACATGTTGAAAGTAGAACCATCTGTGTAACTTGATTTACTCCACTACCTCACACGTCAGCCAACTACAATTACACTTGAGGAGAAATGCAATCTTTAATCTCAAATAGTAGGTAGCAGCTGGAACGCACTTTGCAAATAAGCCAGCAGCCTTTACTAGTTAAAGGGGGATGTTATAAGTCACAATGTTCAGGTGCAGATAACAGCAGTTATCCATATCTTGTCTAAAACATTAATTAAACATACATGGGGGTTCATTGCAGCAAAAATATTTGTTTCCCGATTCTAATGAGTTCCATTATTTCCTAGGAAAATTTCCAGGCCAGCCAATACATATCGTGTATGTTCCTTCCCACCTTCATCATATGCTCTTTGAATTATTCAAGGTATGATACTTCACAGCAATCATGGGTTTGTCTTTAAATAACTCACTCCTTACACTTTTATCATTCCCAAGCAAGTAAGAGCCTCTACCTATCCTCCTCTAAGAATACTTTGGTATAAAGTGGCTATATAGCCAGTGTTAGGAAAGTTCACAGAGACACAGTAAACAGTGTGCTTGAAAATATAGAATATGGCTCATGCTATCTCAGTACTGAAGAATGGAGTGGGTGCTCCCATCATTTCTTCAGTGCATGACCTCTTTAAAAGAGGTCATGGGGTGAATGCAGTGGTGAATGAAGTCTTGCAACCTCCATACCATACACTCTCCAGCTGCAGACGCCAAGGTATACTTCCTGTGAGTGGAGTGGTCACATTCTGAAAGTAGAACAGCCAATCCCATCACATGAATATCAGTCACGTGTGGGCTGCATTAAAATGCAAAATCAGATGCAGATCTGGAGTAGTGTCCAGGATTCTGAATTCCCAAGGATATGATGCTTATCCAAAGTCCATACATACTTTCTAAGCAGCCTGCAGCATCCCGATTCTTAGACAGTGTGTGCCATAATCACCTATAATCCTTGATAAAAGGCAGGTGCATGGAAATATTTAAATTCTATAGGTCCGAGAATTTGCACTTCTGGTGTGCTGAAATCTCAAATGTCTCTAGTCTGGGTAACTAAACTCTGATGACAAACTCTTATGCATTCTAAGATCATACTAATGCTCTGAACTTAAACCAGAAAAAATAAGACTCACTTGAAGTTTGTGACATTCTCTAAGATGATTTTATAGATTGACAGGGGGAGGAAATCTTTTTTGAAAAGTAAAATCTGCCTCTAAAACTGACATAAAGCCAGAATGTTTCTCACTTATTCTAATGTTTTGCAATGAGATATTGGTTAAACTACAAACATCTGATCTATTTTACTTCACTTCAATGAATAGCTGGTATTATGCGGAGATGCCAAAGGACAATCAGAGAGGAAAGCAGTCTAATAAAGTGAGACTTTACCTACAGGACATTTCCCCTGTAAGCTTGTTTTGGTTGATTCTGTGCTAAAGAACATGGGACCCTTTTTCATCGATTTAGTTTATTTTTAATTGAATGCTTTAACACGGAGAGTTATTCCGCCATCCCTGGTGAAAGTTAAGATGATATTCAAATGCAAATAGAAATTTAATTTAGAATTATTGACTGTCCTTTTAAATAGTAACAACCCTTTTCCTAGCGAGTTTTATAAAAGCCAATAAATTGGTTCAACGATTCACTGTTCATTCCTTATGTAATAGTCTTTGGTGTTTGGATATATAATGTAATGGAAAGACAGAAAAATAGAGCACTAGGAAATGGGCTATAAAAACCAATTTCTACATTTAAATTAAGCTTACAAATAAGAACTTGACAGCTAGCAGAATTGTTTTTCCATTAGACATTACTCCCAGGAGCTATATTGCATGGTAAATGAAGATTTTTCATTATACATTCTACATGACACATTCATAAATGGCTATATTTACAGAGATGTTTTATCACTCACTTAAGAAATAGGAACTTTGAATTACCCTCTGCTGCTTTTATTTTAACCATAAAACAGTTATTTATTGCCTCTCATCCTTCCCCCATTGAATTCCTTATGGTTTTGTTGTCTTTAGAATGCCATGAGGGCCACAGTTGAGCATCAAGAAAATCGCCCTTCCCTGACACCAGTCGAGGCAACTGTCGTCTTGGGAAAAGAAGACCTTACAATCAAGGTAACCACTCCCTCCTTTGGTTTTTGTTTTGTCTGGAGGAAATTAAAAGGGGCCTATAATAACATGGCTTTCTATTTGGGACAACTCTCCAAGCCATGTGTGCCAGATGACTTTTAGGAAATGAAGGGTCTTTTCTGTAGACAGGTGCCTACTATTGTTGAAGTAGAGCTCTGACCTGTTTGTTTGCCTGTTTCAGATTTCTGACCGAGGAGGTGGTGTTCCTCTGAGGGTCACTGACCGCCTCTTTAGTTACACATACTCCACTGCTCCAACGCCTGTGATGGACAATTCACGGAATGCCCCTTTGGTAAGGCTAGTGAAGTCATCTCAGCCACCTAGTTCTAAATGTAGCATGAGGATTATAAGAAAGTATTTAGGCTAGTTAATCTACTTAGTTAAATAGGCACGTGGCGATATGAGAAATAAAACAAAGCTAGCTAACTTTAGAGTGAAGATCCTAAGGATCTCTGATTGGGAGAAAGTGCTTAAACATGAGTATGAGTGAGGATACTAGCTTCTTTCCATAGTCGGTCATGTCTACTTTTTCATTAATACCTGATCGTTCTTTACCCAGGCTGGTTTTGGTTATGGCTTGCCAATTTCTCGACTCTATGCCAAGTATTTTCAAGGAGACCTGAATCTCTACTCTATGTCAGGCTATGGGACAGATGCCATCATCTACTTAAAGGTATGCTTTAAACTCAGTAGAAACCACCATGGCTTTGTTTCCTTCTCTGAGTTCTACAGTCCTCTGTGAACTATTTAAACTGAGACACCCTAAGCAATAACCAGTTATTAAAGTTTCTGTTTTCGTATATGCACACTTAATATACAACTTATCCAAGAGAAAGCTCAGTCATGCTACCGGCCTCAAGTATTGACCCAGACATAGATGAAGCCTGAGAGTGACAACATGCCAACATGAACCTTTTTCAGACAACTTCTCTTGACATCTGTGAGGGTAGCTAGAGTTCTGTTTTACTCAGGCTTGTGGGGAACACATGCTAATGATGTTTCAGAATAAAACAATAAAAATCAAGACCTCCGTATGTAACCTTAAGCTGACCCTATTTAAAACCCAGGGGAAAGACTGCTGATAAGCTGCTAGTGGTGTGTCAGGTATTTCCTGCTTGAATTTTAAAACTGGGAACATGTTTTTTCTGTTCCAGATACAGCCTAAATTTGTTTGTTAAGATCACCATCCCAATTCTGTTTATCATTTGTCAGCTATTTCAACTGAAAATTTATTTAGAGATGGTAAGAACTGCAACATCAAGTTTCTAGGTTTCCATTTTGTCCATCAGAATTTCGTGCTGAAGTTCTCTTTGACTGCCTGAAATAGTTACTGTGTTTATTCTTTTATGAAACTGGCAAACGTGTTCCAGCTATAGGGAAAGAACCCTTTAATAGTATCATCGTAGGTCTCTATACATATAAAGATGATAGTCTCTTTGTCTTATTTTGTAAAATACCTAGAACACCATGAGTCTGTATATGTTTAGCACAAAGTCAGTTAAACGAGAGTATTTGGATATTAAGTCATACCTCTGAATGTATTTTTAACAAGGAAGTAAGGTCATGCATAATTTCTTTAACATTTCCTCTCCTCTCCTCTTAGGCTTTATCTTCTGAGTCTGTAGAAAAGCTCCCTGTCTTTAACAAGTCAGCCTTCAAACACTATCAGATGAGCTCTGAAGCTGGGGACTGGTGTGTCCCAAGCAGGGAACCAAAAAACCTGGCAAAGGAAACAGTGGCCGTGTGAAGGGGAACAAGTAAGACACTTGATGGGATCAACGTGGGCCTATGGCAGTGTTGCTGCATGAATATGTGTGGACACTTGTTTCTGCAAAACAAAAAAACAACCAACCAAGCAAAAAGACAAACGCTAGATCAGACATTGATCCAGTAAGGGATGGAGCTTGGTTGTGTGACCTGTGAGAAGTCAGAGCCAGACTCCAGTAGACCACAGGTGACCTGTTTCTTGTTTGACAATGAAGAATGACTTGAGATTATTGCAAATACTGAAAAGAAGTCAGCCTCTAAGTTATATATATATATAGATATATCTTTCTCAACAAGTACAGGATTTGAGGTTTGCAGTCTCAACAGGTGGATGCTTTAGAATTCTTGTTGCCGTCCAAATATATTGATGTTCAGTGAACATCAATTATTGAGACATTGGTGTTTTCCTGCCACGCAAAGATTAGAGTGTTATTAGAAATGTATGTTAATGTGCATTTTGTCAATGTTAATATACTCTCGACAGGACAGGACAGAAGATGCCAAAGCACTTCAGTGAGTGGGCAGTGCAGGTTATGTGGATACTCCGAAGAAAGCCTTTTTGGCAAGAAAGCTCCAGTATCACATAGCCTTTCTTGTTTGGGCTATACTCCATAAGCCAGTGATTTTTTGGCCTGTGCCTAGTCTTAGGTGAATTGTTAAATATATACTGAATTTAGGAAGTTGGGCTGGAAAGGGAGATAAATCGCCAAAGTGATCCAAAGATTGTATGTGGAAAAACCATATTAGAGAAAGAAATCACATATTACAAACTCATCTGGGAAGGAATGGGAGTTCTCTAACTGGATAAGAGCACCTACTTTCCAGGCTTAAAAACATGCGCATTTTATATTTTAATTATATTCTCTACACTCCTATATTAACATATCTGTTCAAAGTTTTCTATTTGCCAATCGACATGAGAGTGTTAAAATTTAAATCCTTCTTGGGGTATTGTTTTTTTTGGTTTTTTGGGGGGGGTTGTGTTTGGTTTTTTAATGGAGTACTCTGGAAGTAAGTTCTCATTCTAGGATGATGTCATTTGTGAATCATGGAGACTCTGAGACCCGATGACTAAAAGCTGTGATATGCTTGGTGCTCAGAGGATGAAAGTGTGATTGGCAGGCATGGATCATCCATCATCCATGCAGATCACCCTTAGAAAAGAAAGAAAAAACAATGAACAAGGGAAGGGATAGAGGGAGGAAAAGAAGGAAGCAGAGGCAGGCATCTTCCTGTTGACCCCACAAGCCCCTCCAAAGAATCCTGTTTTTCCTGGGCAGGGGGAAGAATGCATTGTCTTTGAAAGCAGTAGTTTCTTAAACAGGGTTCACTCTTACAAGACCAGGGGCTTTGTGAGATAATGAATTCATTTGTGTCAAAATAACATTGGAACGTTTTTCCGAATTGTAAATCTATCAGTCCTGTGTGACAGGGAGTTTGAAATCTGTATGTAATTTTATGCTGACCCAGTGCTGAGGTATATCTGGCTGTGGCAGCAAAAGCCACAACTATTTGTTTTGGACTTCAGAGTTTATCTTTAAAGTCCTGGTCAGTGACTTGGATGGTAGGACTTTGATTCCTGCATTGATTAGTCACACAAAACTGTTAGCATTTAGCTTATCTGTTGTGTTCTTGTTACTGTTTTTCCAAATGAAGCTTCAGCTGTATGTTTGGGCATATAAATATTTGTTTACCAAAGATCTAAGGCATTTGGTTAAATAGCCCAAACACTTTGAGCTGTGTTTAAAATAGTAAAGAAAATCTTTAGGATCTCAACAGCATCAACTGTGTAAATTAAATTGAAACAGTCTTCCTGTTATTTATGAACCCATGGGAGACTTTAGACTCTAGTGGATGGATATGAATGCCCAGGCCCACTTAACTTATTAATGTGTGGTTGACATTTCTGTGTTTAGGTTATGTGCAGAAAATGTGATAATTTTATAATAAATATTTTTATTATAATGGTGATGTGGTCTTATAAAATTCTTTTTTTGAATAATTTCGAAGTATAATGAATGATTTCAATTAAAGGGATTCCTCGCTTTACATTCAGATATAACTTATCTGTATATTTGGCATAGGTTTTAAAAATTAAAAGCATATTTAAAATCCTAATTTTAAAACAAGTGTTTTATAGTAGTTCAGAAAATATGGTTGTCTTTTTCTTGCTTAATGAACATACAGTACTAAGACTCATTTAGCTACAACTATTTATTCAATAACCATTTTGGCAATACATATGGCTCATTTGCTAATTTTACTTAGTGTGGTATTCACTGACACACTGTGAAATATTAAAATAATAACCTAGATAATTTAAATTCCCAAATAATGTTGGGTTAAGAATCTGTGTGCTAATAACTAAGAAATAAGATAGAAATTACTAAATTAGGACTATAGAGGTAACTTCTACCGGGCTCAAGACCTGAGTTCAGTCTCTATAGCCCATATAGTAGAAGGAGAGAACAGAATTCTCAAGTTGTCTTCCAACCTTCACACGCATACTACTACATGTGCACACACAAAACATAAACACATGGAAACATGTGCATGGGCAACACATAAAATTAAAAAGTAATAATAAGGAAAAAAGGAATTACTAAGCTAAATCATGGCTGACATCATCTTTGCCTTCTTTTACTAATTTAATCCTTCTGTGCCTTTAGATAAGTGACTTTGTTGCCATCATGGAGGTTTTACAAGGTATACTAAATATTTTTCTATTGCTATGATAAAAAGCACAATGATCAAGGAAATATGGAAGGGTTTATTTGGAGTTTACAGTTCCAGAGGGGTAGAAGTCTATCACCATAATGGCAGGCTGCATGGCAGCAGGCAGGCATTCATGGCTCTGGAGCAGTAATTGAGAGGTCACATTCCAACCCACAAATAGGAAATAGAGGATTCATTAAGAATGATAGGAGTGTTTTGAAGCCCAGCCCCGTGATATGTCTCCTCCAAAAAGGCCATACTTCCTAATCTTTCCCAAACAGTTCCTCCAACCATGGATCAAGTACTTAAACACAAACACCCATGTGGCACTCCTCTCATTCAAGCTGCCACATTCTACTCCCTGAATTGTGGCCATATCATAATGCTAAGCAGATTCGGTTTAACTTCAAAAGTCCCCATAGTGTTTCACAGTCTCCACACAGTGTGAAAGTCCAAAGTCCCTTCTGAGACTCAAAATAACCTCTTAATTGCAAACTCTTGGGAAATCCAAATCCAAATCACATACTTCCAACACACATTGGCACTGAACGTGCATTACCAATCCAAAGAGGAGGAATCACGACATAGTGAGGAAATACTGTACCAAAGCAAGGAAGAAACCCAACAGGTCAAATCCCAGCTCCTGTAGCTCCAGGTCCAAAGTCAAAGGGCATAAATGACTTCACCCTTATGGTGTTGCTGATTGCAGCACACCTCTCTGCCTTGGGCTGGTTCCCCTTTCTGTCTGCAGCTCTCCTTGACAGAAGCCTCATGGCTCTGGAATCTCCAGCATCTTGAAGTCTCCAATGCAATCCAGGCTTCACATTCACAGCTCCATGCAATGGCCTCTCAGGGCCTCTGTACAGAGACTGCCCTGCACACACCTGACCTCAGATACCCCTTAACTGTTGAGGGAGAGTCTACAACCTCTTCATTCATTTACCTTTCATCACTCTAAAGACATGAACTACACCGTCAAGTTTGGCTAGCCCATGAACCACACTTTCAGCCCCCTTCATTATTATTATTTTTTTTAGAAGCATAAATCCCTTAGGCCTTTTCCTTTCCTAATTTGTAAGCTTAGTTGGGTGGGGTCTTGCCCTGAAGGTACCAACCCCCTTTAATTAATGGGAAATAGGCCTCTCCCTAATACATCTGATTCAGGAGAAGTCTTAGCAACAATAACACATTTTCTGGTGCCTTCCTCTCTTCCAACTGTAAACTTTTTATTTCTTTGTGCCTTACTTGTCCTTTTTCATTGTACATCTCCATAATGGTGATTACTAATAACCTCAGAACACAGTCAATCTTAGGCTACCTTGAAATCTTCTCCACTGAAGCAATTTAGTCCTCCCACGCCCCCCATGGTCTCAGGAAATTTCATAGGATGAAGGCAGATATCAGTCACGTTCTTTGCCAAAATGCTGCAAGAACAGGTTTCTAGTCCACTTGCTAAAAAAAATGTTCCCCTCTTTAACCTTTTGAGCTGGACCTCAACAGTTCACATTGCTCTCAGCCCCTAATGTTTTCCAAGTTCCTAGTAGGATAGTTCATTAAGCTATATTGTTCAACAGCTTCTCTATTCTGTACTCCCCAAATCTTCATTCCTCCAGGAACCAGCACAGTCAGGTTTGTCACAGCAACAACCAACTTTCGAGTACCAGCTTCTGTATTTTTTTTTTTCAGTTGCTATGATAAAGTCCCATGATAAAGACAACTTCTAAATAGGGATGTTTATTTGGGTCTTAAATTTCCAGAGGTTTAGGAGTCTTTTACACATAGAAAAACATGGCAAATGCAGGCAATTGTGGCTATGAAGCAGAAGGTGGGAGCTCACATTCCAATCCACAAACAGAAAGCAGAGAGTACTCTGGGGATAAAGAAAGGCCTCAGATGCTTCAGAACCCCTCACCGTGACACCAAAAAGGTCACACCTCCTAATCCTTCCCAAAGAATTTGACCACTTGGGACCAAGTACTCAAACATATGAACCTATGGAGACCATTCTCCTCAAAACCACCATACATGGCAAGTTTCCACAAATGGGAAATGGGAAAGGAAAAGAATGATAAAGAGAAAAATAAAACTAGGGTAATGAGATTAGTGCAATGGGTTAGCCATAACTAAATTTGAAACATTATAAAACTAATTATATTTAAAAACAAAAATAACACCAATTTTAAAAAACTGCACAGTACTCTTTAAAACCCTTTCCCCTACTACATTTTCCTTCTAGTCGAAGGACACACACATACACACACAGAATGGAAAGAGGCTTAGCTATATTTCATTGGTCCAAGCTGCATGACAAGTAGAGAACACAATATAGGTCCTCAAAACCTTCACCCATGTGTCAGTGTGTATGTGAGCAGATATGTATGCATATTCCTGCATGTGTGCAAATATGTATCCATGTATGTGTGTATAAAGGCCAGAGTTCAATCTTCAGTGTTGTACCTCCTAGTTTTTGAGACAGTGCCATGGGTTTACATGGGTTGAGTCATATGAAACTCAGATCCTATGCTTGTGCAAGAAACACTTTACCATTGTGTTTCTTTATCATTGGCTATCTCCTCATCCCAAAATGTCATTTTCTACTCAAGTAAATGTGTGTGTCCCCATAGGATTCTATTTTCGTGAATCAACAAAGTAGCCAGATATTAGTGCAGACTGTCTCTAGACCATTTCACCCACACTTCAAACTTGGCTATAAATAGTAAGATCATTTGATCTCAGCTACTGCAACTCACCCAAATTGAGAGATTGTTGGAGCCAGAAGCAGGTCATGAACTTCAATAGTTCCTTCAATTTTCTACTGCACTTTGAAGGGTTCCATTTCATTTTATATGAACCCACACTGAAAAGTAGGTGGCATCATCTGGATGCTTTGATGTAACCTGTGATTGTAAAAGAGGAGGGGCTTTTATTTTTCAACCAGAGTCTATGTAAGAAATCAAGGAATTTCCATGACAACACTTAAGAGAGATACATTCTGACCTCCATCACCCTTCTAGCCTGTTGCTCTCCTTAATTTATACTCTTAGATTTTACCACTTACAGACAGTAATTCAGACACTCAATGAATATTCACTCAATAAATAAGCACATTCTTAACTTCTGGTCCTGGAACAGCTAGATGCTTGCCATCAGAACAGATTGGAATTCTGTATCAGATAACTGTACATACCTTGTATAAGATTTATACTTTAAGTTAATGGCCAAGAAGTCCTGCAGTGTTTCAGAGACTCCAGAGTCTGCCTCCAAACTAGTTCATTTACAGCTGGCTTTTCTTGATATTACCTCCATCAGTTACATTTAGCCTTTGGAAATTACCATGTATTGCACAGGAACTTTAAACAAAAGCTATAGGTAATCAGTTCTGAGGCAATCTCTTGAGCATGTGATCTGGTATTTTTTTAAATATTCCAAGTATTCTTTCTTGCTAACTTATTTGCACTCTAATGAAACCTATTACTGTCCACATATCATTGCTTCCTGTTGGAAGTGAGAGGTTTTAGTTCTTTCCCAAAAGTAAACTAACATTAAAATCCACCCAAAGCAGAGATATCAGTATCCTTTATAATATATCCAATCTATTAAATGATTTGAAAATGATAGGAGCCCACATAATAACAAATCCAGTAACAACAATAGAGTTCATCAACAAAATGTAAGATATTATTTTCATTTTACTGCTATCATTTAATTTGGTGGTGGAAACACAGGGGTGATATCAAATAATGTGACAAAGGTAGAAATTATTTATTAGCATATTGCCTTCTATAAATGTAAATGAATGCTTTAATATCTAAGCTTGTTTGCTGAATACAATTCCAGAGGTTTCATCTATTTCACAAAACTATGCCTTCTTGACTAGTTTCTAGCTCCCAAACATACTTTGACATTTGGTAGAATTGTACTTAATTTAGTCTTTTCCCTTCCCACATATTTCCAAGCATAATAACTTTGCTTTGAATTAAAATTTAAGGAAGGGACTTTAAATTCAAAACTTTTGGAATCATATTTCTTAATAATTGCTTACAGAATAACTCTTTTACACTCTCTCAAAACTTGTAGGTTAATTCCCTTAAACCAGCTTTCTCACAATATCACCTCCAGTGCAAAATCCTTCAGTAATTTCCCAGTGTCCAACAATGTTTGTTGTTTTCTACAATCCAGCCTAACTGATCAATTTTGCAATTATTACCTGTTCAGTATTCTGTCTTCTGAACACTGAACACATGCACTTCCCTC